TGGAGCGGTTGGTGCCAGGGAATGCCATCATGGTAGAAAAGGGTTTTAAATTTAATAATCTGCCACCTGGAGTGCAGGTGCAGATTCGGGCCTTCAGAAAGCTGCAGGAACCAGATATTGGAAAATGATGCGAAGCACATGCGGCAGGTGGCAAGTGCGCATGTCATCATTGAGCGTGTGATTCGAAGGGTGAAATAATTATGCATTCTTAATTGTGCATTCCACATCTCAATGAACAATATTGCGGAACAGGTGTTTCAAGTCTGTTGCTTTTTAAGTAACTTTCGAATGCTGCTAATCAGTGGCGAGTGATTAGTCGCATGCATTTCAGTTTCAGTGGCATCCCCCTGGTACCAACTCCCGAGCGAATCAGTACCGAGTGATTAGAAGCATACGTTTCATTTTCAATAGCAACTTGGTGAAATACCATAAACCACTTAATTTTTGTGAGGGTCTAAGCTGAAAGGGGCGGGGACTGAACCCAGGTGCCCTGGATTCCGTGACACAATTTTTCGCTCCCTATTCCCAAAGCTGCGGTACGCTAACATACTTGGCCACCAATCCTTCCATGCTTCAGTGAGCGTCCTTCATTACAGTGTATTATAAGGGGTAGGACATGTAAAAAAATGAAATCTGATATTACTGTATTACTTTAACAATTACCTGTCCCTATATTTTTGCTAAATTTCTTTTGTAAACAGCACTTAAGTTTCGTGGTCAAATTCAGTTGTGTGACATCAGAGGGCCGAGGTTGGTGTGTACATCTCCTTGGTGTGTTTGTATTTGCTGATGTCTCTTGAATACAGCCAATTTGTACTCTGTGTTATCCAAATTTACTAGCTGCTATGTTAGCAGACAATATCTTTTTCCTTCAGTGGAGACAAATGCACATTATTCTCGTGTTTGTCTTTCATTGCTCGGGAAGTATGTAGCCCTTGTCAAAGCAGTCTGACTAATTAATCTTCACTGTACATAAAGAGATCATAGATAGAACCAGTCACAGTAGCACTTCGACATTCCTCCAAAAGTAGCTGTCTGGCTTTGCACATGAGCTAGTGACAGTTGTTTTAAAGCGCAGCTCTTAGGGGCCCGTTCCCGGCTTGAGCGGCGTCGGCGTAACAAGGTCACCCCAAGGTCACGTGTCATCCCAAGGTCACGTGACCCCTCCCCCAGGGTCACGTGACCCCCCCACCGAGGTCACGTGACCTCCCCGATGACGTCACCGGCATCCGCATCGTCATTATCACTGATGACGTCATCAGTGACGTTACTGATGACGTCACCGGCATCCGCATCGTCATCATCACTGATGACGTCATCAGTGACGTCACTGATGACCTCAACGGCATCCGCATCGTCATCGTCATCATCACTGATGACGTCATCAGTGACGTCACTGATGACCTCACCGGCATCCACATCGTCATCGTCATCATCACTGATGACGTCATCAGTTACGTCACTGACACCGCCATCCGCATCGTCATCGTCATCATCACGGATTACGTCATCAGTGACGTCACTGATGACGTCACCGACATCCGCATCGTCATCATCGCTGATGACGTCATCGGAGTCCGCATCGTCGTCACTGATGACGTCATCAGTGACGTCACTGATGACCTCACCGGCATCCGCATCATCATCATCACTGATGACGTCACCGGCATCCGCATCGTCATCGCCATCATCACGGATGGCGTCATCAGTGACGTCACTGATGACATCATCGGCATCGTCACGTGACCCCCAAGGTCACGTGACCCCCCCCCCAGGTCACTTCACCCCCCAGTACCCTTCCCTCCTCCTCCTCAAGAGCTGCGCTCTAATTCGGTGTTACAGGGAGTTGTAAACGGCTTTCACTTTTTTTATCTATCTGTTATCTTTGCTCAACAAGCTTTATGGGTGATTATAGAGGCTGGATTTTAGCAAATGCCGATTTTGTTCCTTAATTCATCAAGCTTTTTCAATATATGAGAATTAATTGAGTGTTAATACTGTTTTTATGGTGCCTATATATGTCTATTTCAGGTGTTAGTTCCTATTTTCAACATTGGCCCCTATATGAACACTATTTAGCATTCAGTTTTGTTTTCAAGTGCAATTGCAGATTGTAATCCATGTTACCAGGCAACACTGACTGTCCTAAACTCAATGGGGTTCAACATACCCCCGGAAAGCGACTGCTAGCAGTGGACATAAATGCGCCGGCCAACGTACGCCACCCGGACATGGCGCGAGCGGTTGGTGAATGCGAAACCATAGAGAGCCTTCAGGGGAAAGGAGAGAAGAGCAGAAGAATGTGATGTACCCCTGGCTTTTGTTGTTTGTAAATTACTTTTTAAGTTGTTCACTGCCAGGGGAGAAGCTAGCGCTATGCAGTTCAACAAGGCCAATGGGAGGCATATGAAGCTTCACTCTAGTATCCCGACTTAGGTTCAACCCTGACGCAATACAATATTATTCTTGCGGTCATTGAGCGGTAAGGAAATCTGCTCTGCACCTCTCAGTCATGCTGAAAAGAAAGACACCCAGGACCGTGCTGATTCAACAGTGAACATTTGAATCACCGTGCTACACAACAAAAGAACCGTGCGGGAAAAAGGTGAGATGAGGAGATAGCGAGGAGTGAAAGTGGCGCAAGCGGTTAAGTTGGAACTCTGACGTAACTCATGAGCGGTGCGACATATGGGATGATTAATTGTGGAATTGTTCTCAAAACAAAACACTTCAATTTAATAAAAACTGCGGGAAATCTACAAAATATATGAGGAAGGTCTGTTCAATGCTGTCATCTTTGCGATCTTGCTTTCTCCGACGAACATCTTTCTTCCTCTCGCAACACGCGTGGCAATCGCAAAACTACCAAGAACCTACAACAGACTCACCCCAAAATGAGCATATTCAAATACGCTTACCGTAATATCCCGAGTCATCGCCCACCCCCCTACCGCCTGAAATTCATTAAAAAAGTGGGGTGGGCCTTGTCTCGGTGGGTGAGCACAAACACTTGAAAAAAAGCGGAAAAAAACGCCTATTTTTCTCTGCGTATCTAGCGCTGATGCAAAAGAGATACATCAAACTCAAAACTCGATTTAGTTTCATTGTTTTATAGAAAAAAATGCTCACGAAAGAATATTTTACTTTAGCGAAGTCCGTCGCTTGCATACGCGCTAGAAACACCGCCGATCTGCATATAGCGCGAACGTTTGTTCCGTGAAAGAATGTCACCACTATGTTCTAATAGTTAGTAAAAAAAAAAAAAGAAAGAAAAGTCTACAAGAAAATAAAAAAGCCGACCAGGCGCAACGAGCGAGCGAGCGAGCGGACCAAAGAAGCGACCAAGAGCAATGCTGGGAAAGCGGGAAAGCCGGCGGTCGCGTTGGCAAATACTTTGGCGTCGGGCCAAGTCGGGCGCCTTGTCAATTGCAAGCTCTAGCGCAACTTTCTTGTTTGGTGCGTACATACGTGCGTCCGTGCACGGCGGGCTATCAATGCACGGTTGGGACGCTCTGCAAACGTCTGTGTAGGGCGTTCCAGCAAAGCTTTATTTACGCGTTGGCTTTGCCTAAAATATTGCACAACCGCGGTCGCGACGGGCGGGAAGAACGAGCGGGTTCGCGGTGACCTTACTTCGGCGGAGACAGACTTTGACCTAACACTCCGCGGTTACATTAAACTCTTATTTTGTTATCTCCATCGTTTTCTTTTCGCACGGATACACGACCACTTTGGGGTCGCTCACGGAGGAAATGCGTAAACAAAAAGAAGTGTCTTTCCCTCCTTCGTTTTACTTTGTCACGGACGTCCTCCAACTGTAAGGTCCGCGGCCGCGTCATTCGGGTAGAATGAGTGTTCGCGAATCGCAGAGTCCGCGCTGGGGTATTTGAAGGGGTGGGCGATGACTCGGTGTTTTTTCGGAAATCGATATTGGCCCAAAAAATGGGGTGGGCGATAGCTCGGGGATGGGCGATGACTCGGGATATTACGGTATTCATTTTACGAGTTCAATGATGTATAAAATTTGCACAGGTCGTTTAAGCAATTGTCCATTTGGTAAAGCCACTGAGCATGATCTTACGATATTATCCCTGCCGTAGGAGAGTTCTTCAACATGTCCAGTTTGCCGATTGAGTTGCGGTGTCTTGCATTCTTCAACGAGCACCAGGTATCCTTCTTGCAGTGTGCTCAGCTACCGGCTCGGATACTCGTGCGCAGATCGCAACTGGAGGAGGCATTCATGATAGGCAGTTTCCGAGCTGATCTGCTTGTTTCACTTGTGCGGGTGGATCTATAGACCGACAAAAAGCAGCGCGGGATCATTGAAAAGGCACAGCAGGCTTTACGTGGCCTTCTAAACGAGCGGCTGTTGGATGGGGTCCGTGAAGGGTTAGCCACAGACTCCAGGATCAGCCTGGAGCTCTGCCAGTGGGTCCCCACCTATTCCGTGATCGCGTCTTTCTGAAGACATTCCTTGTACAACATCCGCGCCGTGATCAGCTCTGGATATCTTTCTTCTGATTTGATGGCAGCGAGCAGCCCTTTTATCAGGTCGTCATGCGATGTAGTCGCCAGGCGGACTGGCAACTTGAGGTGCTTGCAGACAAACTTGTAAAAATCACGGCACACGCAATGGAAGTAGTTCCGTCGGAGAATTTTTAGAAACATTCACCCTCTGGTCAAACAACGCACGTCCCTGCAACTTGTGGGTGTAGCACGCCGAAAGCTGAGATCTTCCTTCATGGCCTTCAGGTTGGAAAGGCTGGAGACGAGATAGTGGTCCAGTCCTAAACCATGTAACCCTTGACCGCTCAGGGTGACGACCAGCGTAAGTGCGACGATGGCAACTACCACCACCACCAAGAATGGCCGACAAAGCGAAAAGCTCTTCGTTGGCCATTCTTCGGTTTGTTCCCTTTCTTTTGAGCAACTTCCTTGTCGATGCCCGATTGCAATACACCATGTCAGATGGCAAAATGCAGTCGTCGTTGTCCTCTTCTTCACTGATACTCGCGTTCTCGAAATTCTTGAGAGTACGACACAATCATGTTCAGATCCTGCCATGCATCGCACACTCTCAACTCCTTTGATTTCAAGCGGCTGTCGAGAGTCTCATCCAGTCGAATTTGAACCTCGGGCTCAACAGTGTCAGATTCACCTGCAACTTCCAGCCTCTGGCCCACTTTGATGACTTCAGAGCATTTTGACGACGACATCTGATACTGCCGGTCGTTCCTTTGATTAGTTAATTTCGGAGAGCGCTGCGAGTGCGGCAAGTGATGGAACTTGGGGCTGCCGTCTATATACTTGTAAGTGTACTTTTCGACGCAGGTGATTTTAGTGTTTACAGCATTTATAAAAACAGGTAAACAACCCTGGGTGGGAACTTCCAAAATGGCATGAATGAATAATAAACAGTTATTGCAGTTGGCATGTAGTAATCTGGAAACATCGGTGTGTACAACACCACAGTACTTTGATCCAGGAAAGGCTGTCACACTTATCGCTGATGCTGCCCCTCACGGCCATGGCGCCATCTTCACGCAAACATCTGATGGTGATATCAAAGTGATTGCATATGGGAGTCGTGCCGTCTCGCCCGTTGAAGCTCGGTACTCCCAAATTGAAAGAGATGTTGGCCGTAATCTGGGGCATTGAGCATTTTCCCGTATACCTATATGGTAAGCATTCTGCCTACTAACAGACTACAAGCCATTGGACAGCCATCCTCAGTTACCCCCCTCTCTGTATTTGGCACGGAGCGAAACGGACGCTCGGACCGGCAGCGTCTGCCTCCCACCTCGGCCAGAGGACATGTTTTGCAGCATCTGCGGCGGACTACGGCTCCATGGCGAACGACACAACCGGTCCTTCCAGCAGAGTTGGGCCAACGACAAGAATGGCAACGTCCTCAGGCCCCAGCGTGTGGATAACCCGGCAGAACATCCAGACGCCATCCGGTGCTTCCGTGCTCGGCTGGCCTGGGATGCCGTCGTTGTTGCCACCTCCCTGGCAGCAATCGGACTACAGGGGGTGGCTGCTCCGGCCCTGGCGGCTGTGCCACCGAGACCACCATGATTAGGTCCACGTTGACCAAGACCTGACCGACATGGACTCCACCTCGACCTGCTATGACCTGGAGACTGCTGGGCAGGGACGACTTCGAGCCCCTTTAAATTTGGCTAAGTCTGATGTTTTTTATGAGAATTGGTGGGCTTTCTTCTTACCTCAGGTAGGCCCACCAAGCATATTAAAGAGGGGTGGGATGTGGGGCCATTGGTCGTCCTTCCCCAATGGCCGATATAACAGCCGTGGTTCGGAACGCTCAGCCTGGTTGCCGTAAGCTCCAACCTGTTTGTGAAGCGTAGGAGAGCCTCCTGGATTGTGGGGGGGGCTCTCCTCTTCGCTCTCTTTTTTCATCCCCCCACTCATTCGGGAACCTAGTTGTTTTGGATGATGACAACGATGCCCCTGAGCGGGGAGGAGGTCGACGCGTATTCCACACTTCGGGAGAGGGGGCCACAGATGCGAGAGAGTTTGGACGTGTCGTATAGGTCTTTCTTTGCTCGCTCTGGACTGCACTATTGGGACGGGGTCGTCAATGTAAGCTTTTCATCCGACCTTGTTGGTGCAAGGCTTTTGGGACAGCGTCTTTTTGGCCCTACTGTGGTATGTGCCTCTCCTTTTTAGAGAAGTGATTATTTGTTCGGCAGACATTCGGACCCACGTGTAGCGGTGATCTGAAGAGAAAGCTGCGAGGCATGGGAGTAGGCTTGTTGTTTCTTGGTTAAAGACCACAGCTAATCCCTTCGGCTACTACCACCCGTGACCAACCCAGAATGTCTTTATAACGAACGCCTCTACTACGAAAACACCCGTTTAACAAAGTAAGATAAAGTCCCAGCGAACCTCCTATCTGTTCAATGCATTTCTTTGATTACTACAATGGATTCCTGCTTAACAAATATTGGTTTAATGAAGCAATTGAGTAGCTACACAAAGCAAAAATGATTGATGTTACAAAATTTCTAGGTAAAAAGTAACTTATTTTACATAAATTGTCACTCAAGTGACATGCTTAGGGAACAGAAATACTGCGGCAGCGGCAACGGTTGCATACTCGTGCCTACTTTTGCTTGCTTTTATTTTGCTCGTGCCATTGATTGAGTTTGTGTCACTCTGCTCCAAGATGAGTTTTTTTCAACGCTCCGTTAAAGGAATACATAAACTTGTTTTCTTATTTTGCATGTATGTCAGCACATTCCAAAGGAATGGACGTCATATCAGCCGCCACTGCTTCGGACCATGCCCTGTACCCATACCTTCAGCAGCACACATTTTCCACTGTTAAATTTCTTCCTATCAGCAAGGCTTGCAGAAAGACGCCGATATAAAGCCGTTGGAAACTAAGGCAAACGTAAATACAGTCGAACCCGTTTATAACGAACTCCATCGGACACGCATTTTAGTTCGATATATCAAGTAGTTCGTTATAGCAAATATCGCTATTTCGTGAGGACGGCAAAAGCGAGAGAGATGAAAGGAAACCGCGCGGAATAGCGGCGAAGGCTGCCGAGCGTAGCGAGCCTCACGCCGGCGCTCAGAGCCGTGTTATCGCGAGGCAGCTTTCATGATGGAACATATGGATTCATATTTCTATCAATAAATTTCAATATTGAAACATATCATCTAAGAAAGCCCGAAAATTTCTAGGTAACAGACAATAAATGAACACGATAATTCCGTAAAATTGAGAAGGAAAAAAAAGTCGTGGCACTTACGACAGAGAGAAGTCTTTATTACCTGTTCTTTTGATATTACCGACAGAAGCTGGTAATTTTTGCCTGCGTCTTCGCTTTTACTGCGTCCTTCAAAATTTCGTCCTCGACGCGAGATAGCTGGTTTACCAGACTTAGTCCACTTCCCTGAAGCTGGGAACAGTACATAGCGACGGAGCACTTCCGTCGCTGCAAGCGCCTCGTGAAGCGTCGGGCAAGGTGCCTCTGGGTCCTCTGCCTCCTCGTCGTCGTCGTCGTTTGCTGAAGCCGCCACGACCTCGGCGACAATTTCGTTGTCTGAAGGACTGCTGGTCACTGCGACATCATCATCCACTCCGAGAAAATCTTCCAGCTCCACGCCATCCGGGACCGCGTCGGGAAGACGGCCGAGGTCTCTCCACATCTCGTTTAAGTCGTCATCCGTAACCTCGATTGCCTCTTCAGTACTTGCTCTGTCGTTATCCAGGTACAGTCCCGCGTGGCGAAAACAATTCTTAATTGTGTTAGGCGCGATGTCGCTCCAAGCACGGCTAAGCATTTCAATAGCACCCAACAAATCAATCTTCAGTTCTTTTCCCACACGCAGCTTGGTGAGCAGCTGCTCCACTACACGCTTCCTGTAACCTTGCTTGAAGGCACGGATGATGCCTTGATCTAGCGGCTGCAGCACCGATGTCGCATTAGGGGGCAGGAAACGAAGCTGAATGTTTTTTAGCGTGGCACCACAGTGATGCGCGGAGCAATTGTCGAGCAAGAGGAAAATCTTGCGGCCACTCTCGGACAACTTCTCATCCCAGTCGCGCAGCCAGTCCTCGAACAACACCCTTGTCATCCAGGCCTTTCCATTTGAAGTGTATTTCACTGGAAGAGACCGACACCCCCGTAGGCACATAGGGGCCTTGCTCTTGCCGATGATCAGTGGCGTAAGCTTGGAGCTCCCGTCCATATTCGTGGTGAGGAGCACCGTAATTCTAGCTTTGTTCAGCTTGCCGCCATGGCACTTCTCGCCTTGTCGTGCCAAGGTCCGACTGGGTAGGAGCTGCCAAAACAGTGCGGTTTCGTCGTTATTAGAAATATCGCAGGGCCTGTACTGCTCCGTAATTGCTGGCCAGTTTTCGGCGATCCACTTCTTGACGCTTTCATTGTCGACTGCTCGACTCTCGCCGGCGACAACTTTGCCGACGATGTCGTAACGTTCCTTGAACCGTTGAAGCCATCCGGATCCGCCACTAAAATCTTGAACGTCGAGCAAAAAGGCAAAGTCTTTTGCTTTCTGCTGTAACATGGGGCCCGAAACTGGAAGGTTTCGAGCGCGAATATCCAAAAACCACGCGTACAGCGCCTTTTCCACTCTGTCAAAGGCAGGCGCCCGAATGCGCTTTCCGTCGGCGTTCGGTCGATCTCGGGACTTTTGCAGGATCGCTGGCTTGTTTTTCAGAATCGTACTCAGCGTGCTTCTGGCGATCTTGAAGGATGCGGCGACTTCTGACTTCTTCTCGCCGCGTTCAACGCGCCGGATTATTTCCACCTTGGTAGAGAACGGTAACGATGAACGCACCTTGGTCGCCATCTCTTGGGGGAACAGGAAGGACACAAAGAACAACGAGCCTCCTCGGCAAAACGCTAGGAACAAGAGAGCCATGTCCGGCCTGGTACGGCTGCAGGATGATGTCATCAGAACGTCATTGCACGCTTGCTCTATCATTGGCCAGCGCGCTTCCGCGGGGGCCGGTTGCGGTGTTGTGACTCACCTTCTCAAGGGTCATCGTGTTTTTCTTGGTTTTCTCTTGTCCTCTGTCGCTCCGTGCATGGCAGGGAAGCCAGCGCGCTTCCGCGGGGGTCGGTTGCGGGCGTTCGCAGTCGGTTTTGTGACTCATCTTCTCAAGGGCCATCGTGTTTTTCTTGGTTTTCTCTTGTCCTCTGTCACTCTGTGCATTGCAGGGAAGCCCGCGCGTCTCCACGGGGGCGGTAGCGGGCGCTCGCAGTTCGATATAACCGATGTGTGGTTCGTTATAGAAAGTATATTTCTCATGAATATTGATCTTAAAATTTCGTGTGTTCGATATAGACCATAATTCGTTCTAACCGGGTTCGTTATAAACGGGTTCGACTGTAGTTTAAAACTTCTGTAATTTTTTTATCCAAGGCAAGTTTAATATTTTGAGTATACATATAAATATATCACCTTTTTATTGCCCAGATCGGTTAGGATCAACCATGCCAGACAAATTCAGCAATATAGATTCAACCCTTTCCCTTCCATGGACGACCTGGGTTTGTCCACACTGTTTGTACCGCTCCCCCTGAAGGCGAGCTGGGCTCGTCCACGTTCATTCGGGCTCCAATACGCTACCATGGACAAATTGGGTTCGTCCACGTGCTTCTAGTCAGCTTTGCCGTGGATAGATGGCGCTTCACAGAAAATAAAAACGTGGCAGATCTCTGAATTTGGCAAAAATTTGTTCCAACGCAGGCAACAGGGGACATAAAAATGGCGGTGTCAACTTCTGGCTGCTGCGTTCGTACTGACGATCTTGCCTCAAAATTGGGGCAAAAACGAAGATATTGTGATGTCTCTTCAGATTCGGAAGATGAGGAAATAAATCTTTCATTGGACAGCGAGAGCAATGCACCCGAGTCATTGGATCGTAGATCAGACGAGTCCGATACCAATGAGGACATTGTGTCGGCGTGTCGGCATTGGACTAGGATCAAAGTAAAAAATCCTCCTCTAGCCCCTCCCCGTTTTGCGTTTACTTTGCGTGCAAAGTGATGTCAACTGCAAACAATGTCGCGGAACTCAGCCAAACAGGATTGAACCCGGCTTCCGATGTCGTCATGACCGATTTCGAGAAAGGAACGATGAACTCTCTTAAGGCGATCCTTGGTGAGGATACGTGCACAAAAACCTGTTTCTTTCATCTCTGTAAAAGCACCTGGAGGAAGATGCAGGAACTTGGATTGATTACCTTTAACAAGAAGGACGACTCGTTTCGAGTCTTTGTTGGGATGCTCAACAGATTCTTTTTTGCCTGTGGAAGATGTTGAGGATGGAATGCGCCTGCTGTGTGCAATCATGCCGCATCATGCCGCCGAGCTCTTAGACTACTTTGATGCTTGTTATGTGACTGGAAATTTTCGCCAACTAACAAGGGCTGATGGCAACATTCATCTGCGTTGACTACCTGCCAGGTTTCCACCTGAAGACTGGAATGTGCACGATACCACAGCTGAAGGCAGCCACCACACCAACAGCTGCAAGGCATGAAACCGGAGATTCAGCAGCATAGTCGGGCATAGCCATCCAACTGTATGGAAGTCAACTGACGCTCTAGAAACGGAAGCTGAATCTGTTTCGTAAAAATTGCTCAGGAGTCTGTCGGAGCCCCACAAAAGAAAAGAACAAAAACAGAGCCGGTCCAGATGCAGCGCCGAATGCAGACTCTCTCCACCCAGTACGACCATGGAGCTAAGACCACAGAGGAATTCCTTCGAGGTGTCAGTCACACTGCTCGGTTTTGAACACCAGGTGTAAGATGTTGTCATGGATGAAGAAAGAATAAACAATTAAAACAGGGACAACACAACCACATCTTTCAACTAGCAACAGACGAGTAAACTTTAAACACGAGCAGCCGACTATACCCAGCAGGAGTGGGGGAGAGAAGGGGAGAGAAGGAAAGATAAAACACGCGAAGTGCAAGTCAGGCTGGTAGGGTTATCTCAGATTTTAAAAATTCAACCTCAGTTTTCGTCAGCAGGAGGGAAGGGTTTGACACATTATTTTTTGCTGTGGTCATGGCGAATGATTCTATGATTTCCCTGCCGAATCTGCTGTCATGCCCCCCAAGGATTTTTGTGTCATCAAAGAGGGGATGACAACGCAAACACGAACGGGCATGTATGACTATGGGATGATAAGAATCTGGAGAGGCCTTAGAAACTTCGTTGTGATGTTCGTGGAGTCTGTGATTGGTGCATCTGCCGGTCTGTCCTATGTATTGATGGCCACAGCTCAAGGGGATGGAGTAAACTTTCTTCTCTTTGCATGGAATGAATTTCTTTTTGTGTTTGACAGTGCAGCAAATCGGAATCCGGTTGTTGTTCACTTGTTGACAGAGTTGTTTAAGACGCATGCGGCATGAGAAGACAACATTCGTGTCGAACTTTGAGGCAATGGATTTTATCCGGTGGGCTGAATTGTGTACGTAAAGAATGACGGCGAATCGGGCTTTCTTTTTTGTGGCTGGTGACTGGCGATCAGGCCCGCGAATCATCCTTTCCATTACAGATCGGAGAAGGTCGACGGGAAACCCTGCCCTGACAAGCCTCATGTGCTGCAATTTGAAGCTATCTTCTGAAAGATGACAACAAGACTTCGTGAAGGATGAAGAAAACAACGATTTGATGATACCGTGTTTTACCGACTTCGAATGGGCGCTAGAAAACGGTAGGACAGGTTTGGAAGACCTTTGTTGAAAGGCCCAGCAGAGTCCAGTGGCACTGACATGAAGCCGCAAGTCTAGGTACTGAAGACCTTCATTCGATGGTTCTTCCTTCGTGAATGTAAGGCCTGACGAACAAGCGGAAAAAACAGCTGTAATGCTATCTGGAGAAGTTCGAGCAGGATGAATGATTAGGTAATCGTCTACAAATCTGAAAACATGGCAGCCAGGCGCGGAGATATCCAGTTGTGCTTTTATAGCTCTGTCAACGAATAAAAGGAATAATTCACTGAGAACAGGGGCGAGACATGAACTGATGCAAACTCCCTTTTTTTGGCGGTAGATCCCTTTCTCATGTTCGACTAAGGTGGACTGGAGATATAGATGAATCAGGTCCACGAATCCAGCAACGGAGACACCGGAGGAATTCTGAAAATCCACAGCTCCGTGCTCAAAGATGGCGTCGGAGATTGAGGCAAGCAAAGCGGTAGGATCTAGATTGAAATACATGTCTTCTATGTCAAGTGAAAAAATAGAGTGGGGCAAGGAGAAGAAATGTTGGGAACTGATGACAGAGATGAGTTAATTCTATTGAGTTAGACACTCTAAAGGGTTGAGGGAGGTGGATGCAGGACAGATGCTTTTGTAGAAAGAGCCCGAGCTGCTTCTGCCAACAACCCTTCTCCGACACAATACTTCGGAGGGGTACTCCGGTCTTATGTGTTTTTGCAGTGAAGAAAACTGAAAGGTACTGCTTCGCTGGACTACTAATGGCTGTTTTTAGGGACGACAGATTCAAAGACGAGCAGAGTTGTTTAGCTCTTGACCTGAGGGTCCCAGACGGTCGCGATTTCAGTTTGAGAAAATTCTTTGAAAGGGCAGCGTTCACCTTATCTGCAAAATCTCCCTCTTCTAACACAACAAACACACCCGTCTTATCGGATTCTAACAGCTTTAGGTGTTCTTGACGAAGCTCTTCAACAGCGGCGAGTAGAGAGATCTTGCCTGGCTTGGGGGGTGGGTGGAAGCACACGGCGCGGATGGCGGAGCCGAGGAAATCTTGCCTCTGTGGTTCTGGGATGGCGGCGGCGACTTGATGAACTGAGGCGAGTTGATCAACCTTCTTAGTGGGAAGGTCTGGGGCGAACTTGGGGCCTTTGGAGAGCAATTCCATGGTGTCAGACGAGATAGCAGTTTTGCACAACAGGACTGGCGGTTCAAACTTCGTCTCGTTCAGCTCACGGCAGGAGGCAGTCACTCCAGCAATCACTTCTTTCCATGAAGCTTCAAGGAGGCGAGAAGCTGCGTCGACGATGAACAGGTGCGAAAGGATGCGAGCGGAAGCCAGCGCCAAACAAGTTCGTCATGCGGCTGGGAAGGACCCTCCCCAGAAGGTGGAGCTCTAGGGATATTTCTTTCCTCGATATCTGCATGATGCGGTAGCTGGAGGACCAGTTGTTACAGTTGAATCCAAGGACGGAGGCCACTCCAGGATGAGGGAGGTTCTTGCGTAGGTGCAGACCGAGCGAGCGGAGCCTTAGACGGAGCAAACTCATTCTTGAGATGAAGCAAGCAGCCTCGAAGAAGGAAGCAGGGTTGAAGGTCAGTGGCTCGCAGTTTGGACTGGCACAGTACATAGCTCAGAAAAATAGGTATGCTTGGTAGAAGAGCGTGTTGGTTTAAGTCATGGATGAAGAAAGAATAAACAATTAAAACAGGGACAACACAACCACATCTTTCAACTAGCAACAGACGAGTAAACTTTAAACACGAGCAGCCGACTATACCCAGCAGGAGTAGGGGAGAGAAGGGGAGAGAAGGAAAGATAAAACACGCGAAGTGCAAGTCAGGGTGGTAGGGTTATCTCAGATTTTAAAAATTCAACCTCAGTTTTCGTCAGCAGGAGGGAAGGGTTTGACACGTTATTTTTTGCTGTGGTCATGGCGAATGATTCTATGATTTCCCTGCCGAATCTGCTGTCATGTCCCCCAAGGATTTTTGTGTCATCAAAGAGGGGATGACAACGCAAACACGAACGGGCATGTATGACTATGGGATGATAAGAATCTGGAGAGGCCTTAGAAACTTCGTTGTGATGTTCGCGGAGTCTGTGATTGGTGCATCTGCCGGTCTGTCCTATGTATTGATGGCCACAGCTCAAGGGGATGGAGTAAACTTTCTTCTCTTTGCATGGAATGAATTTCTTTTTGTGTTTGACAGTGCAGCCAATCGGAATCCGGTTGTTGTTCACTTGTTGACAGAGTTGTTTAAGACGCATGCGGCAT